AAGGCACTTGTTACTAGTAGCGATGCACTTGTTACTACTAGCTTCTTCCTAGTCTGCATCAAGTCGCACTAGGTCGGGTGCGAAGAAAAAGTTCACGCACACAACTATATAATAGCAATGGCCTCCAACCTACTGGCTTCTAGCTACTAGTAGTAATGGCCTCCAACCTACTAGCGATGGCCTCCAACCCGATGTAGATTTGGAATCCTTCTTTGGGAGTCCCCTATTGTTTCCTTAGGGGCCCTTGTTGAAGTCACTTGAATCACCTCATTGGGACTTTCGAAGACTTTTCCAGCCTGGCGATTTCACCAAGTTTATCAGGTAGAAATGCCCTTTGTTACTAGTAGCTTCTTGTTCCTAGTGGTAGGGCCAGGAGCCCCTAGTAGCGTCCTTGCCTCCTTGCCCCTAGTAGCGTACCTTGTTTGATCTCCGCTCAAGGCATTACAGCTGTGGGTCCCAAGCGCACAGCCGCGCCATCGATCCTCTTCTCACCTCAGGCAGCGCAGTACAGAGCGAGCAGAAATGCCATGTGTTTTTACTCCGCTACTAGGAACAAGGATGCTACTAGGAGCTCCTGGCCTTACTACTTACTAGGAACAAGAAGCTATTAGGATAGAGGCCATCGCTATTAGGTTGGAGGTGATTGTCACTCCGCTACGTTGGCTACCGACGCTCGCTGAAAGGAGGCTCGAAGCCAAGACCCTGAGTCCTTTGCCTCTTTGGCGCTCCACGGGTTGTCAGAGGCACGACTTTGACAGAAACCAAGGGTGAGGTGGCTAAACTGCTAAACCACCTTGTATATTCATGCCAGGGGCTCCTGGCATCGCTACTAGTAGCTCCTGGCCTTACCACTAGGAACAAGAAGCTACTAGAAACAAAGTGCATCGCTAGTAGTAACAAGTGCCTTACTAGTAGTAACAAGAAGCTACTAGTAACGAAGTTCTCCTGGCATGTTACTCTTCGTGGGGAATCGACCGTGGAGACAGCTCGAAGGCATCGGTGCTGGCGCCGGAGATCTCGAAGTTTACGGAGCTCTTCGAGGGCTCCGTGAAAGATCGGGATCTCTTAACCCGGGAGGAGCGAGAGACAACGACATGACGAGGTGATGGGGAGAGAAGAGGTGAGAAGAGGTCGACCGAGACGACCTCGACCTCGACAGGAGCACGATGCTTTAGACCGGAAGATTCATCATTTGCTGATGCTTTTGCACCTCGGCTCTGGATGAAGAAGGAACGGATGTACGTTCCTTCTTGCAGTTCAACAAAATAATTGTAATCCGTTTTCTTCAGTGACACGAAGCAGCTAAGTCGAGGTCGCCACATCTACAGGCTAGAGCAGCACAGGAATGCGTAGAAGGCCTACTGTACAGGTCGGGGGCTGGGGGACTCGAGTTTTTGACATTCTACAAGGAGGTAGTAGTCGAGCCCAGACAGCAGTTTTTTCTTTTTTTGTATTTCAGTTTTTTTGGTGTTCTGCAATTTTTGACTTGTCTCTTCACCTGTTCGCTTGTATTTTGGTCGCTAGTAGGTTGGAGGCCGCAAGTAAGATTCCTGAAAGCATTGACTCGGCAGTTGGTCTTCAAGTTTCCACCTACCTTTCTTCCCCTCCGGGCGAAGCGCGAGACGGGCAGGTACCATGTCCACCGGTGGAATGTGGATGATCTGATGGCTGCTGCCCTGCCGCACCATGTCTCATCCTCGATCCAAATGGAGCTGACCTTGCTTCTAGAGCGTCCTTGCTCCTAGTAGCGATGCCAGGAGCCCCTAGTAGCGTCCTTGCTCTTAGGAAAAGCTTTTTGAGATTCCGAGATTCCCGAGACCAAGGATTCACCGCTCTTCACCAAGCTTGTTCAGGCCGCAAGAACTTGTAGCAAATAACTTCGTGCAATTCATGCCATCGCTATTTGGTTGGAGGCCATCGCAAGTAGGTTATAGGCCATCGCGAGTAGGTTGGAGGCCGTTGCTATTAGTAACTCAAAAGAATTTACTTTTTTCTTAATTTGATTCAATAAGTTTGAGGGATTCCGAGCCCGGACCAGCCCGACCAGGGTCTGCATGTAGAAAGTAAGCCTCGCTGGTCTTGGATGGCATCTCTGAAGGCCAGGGAGTCGAGGTCGGCGTTGAAAGAAACTGAAGGTTGGAGAGCAAACTCTACTAAACCTTTCTACTAGTAACAAGGGCATCGCTACTAGTAACAAGGGCATTTCTACTAGGAGCAAGAAGCTACTAGTAACTACATCAAACCTTTATCTATTTTCTTTTTCCTTTGTTTCCAATAGCAATGGCCTCCACCTTAGTAGCGATGGCCTCCAACCTATTAGCGATGCTGAAGGTTGGAACGAGGAAATGCCATGAGCAAGATCTACGGATTGCTCAAGCTGTGGATCAAACAAAGAGCTTCGATTGCGAACCTAATAGGAATGACCTCCAACCTAGATGGTCTCCAACCTAAGAGCGAACTGGGCCTTATTGAAAGAGGTTTTTTTGACCTCACCAGCTGCGTCATTGGGCTCACCGGCGAGGCGAAGCCTGCGTCCTTGATCAGATCGACCTTGGCGAAGGTTTGTAGCAAAGATTCTGCCATCCTGTCCTTTGTGGGTGATGTCGTGGAGGAGATGAAAGAAAGTGAAAGCTTGCACAGCACTACAGCACTACACAGCACTACAGACATGGTTTATGTTTTTAATGTCACATGCTTTACTACGTAATTGTACCCCTGTGTAGTACTAACAAGTGTCCCTTCTACCTCTAGAAGGCCTCAGGCATGAAGTGCCTCATCCTTGTTTGAAGAATGCTTTATGACCCCCCTACCTATGCTATTGTTTTCTTTGGTTCGAAATATCCACTCAGATGTTAGGAAACTCTGCGGATGCAAATGAGCAACCGCACCCTGATGACCTTTTTCACCGCGATCTGGCTCGACACCCTCGCCTTGTGCGGCCCGCCAAGCCCGAAGTCGACGTGTCGTCAATGTCGTTTGGAGCGACTCACCGGCCAAGGTCCGTGGGAAATGATTTGGTGCAGGCAAGCAGACAAAAGCACAATGTGATCGTTGTCCAATGTGACAAAGTGAATCTTTGCTTGTGTGGCTCGTATGGTGGTTTTGCTTGGCATCTGCTCGCGAGAGATAGAGGTGTTGACACCCTCTTGCAGGTAGCAATCCCAACTGTTCTTTTGCTCTTGAGTCAGTCACAAGATGCATTCTACGCTGCCCGGGCACCTGAATTGGATTGCAGACGGATCATTTTGCAGATCTCAGATGTTCTAATGTTAAGTTTTCCTAAAAATCTAGGAACCAAAATCATTAGTGCGTCGGCTATCCTGTGTCCAGTTACTAGTAGCGTTCTTGTAGCTACTAGCTACCTAGCTACTACCAGCTGGGCGCCAAATTCCTTCATTAAGTTCCAGCGCCATAAAAAAGTTACTAAACCTTTCTACTAGTAACAAGTGCCACGCTACTAGTAACAAGTGCCTTACTAGTAGTATCAAGGAGCTAGTAGTAACAAGTGCATCGCTACTAGTAACAAGTGCAAAAAAGAACGTTCCCAGGGTGCCACGATTACGGGTGCCCTTTGTGTCAAGACGGAGCTGGAGGACCGGGGTGCTTGGTGGGCCGACGAGGCCCTAGACGTAAGCTTGCCCTTCACGAGCTAGTTTCTTGCAAGGATTCAAAAGAAGAACAAGTAAAACAAACAACACGTTAATCCGTGTTTCCTACAAATGATTTCTTCAAATATATAACAGATTATAACAGTTGTTTCTTACAACTCGCCCTTTTTGTTTGGCCTAAGACTTTCAGGCCTTAGTGGGATTCTAGAGTCGAGAGAAGGCCCGCCAACATAGCGGAGGAGCACTTGCAAAGGCAATTGCTGTTGAAGTTGGCCAGACAGGCGTGC